ACCTGGAACTTCCAAGAGAAGGCCCAAGGCCCCGCAGCGGCTTGCATTGCTTCACAGCTGAGCCTCTTCGTGGCTCCTGCTGTGTGGCCTCAGGCAGAGGCTGAATTAGCACCTCCTTAGATCCAGGAGCCACTGTACCCAGTGGTCAGAGGGGGTCCATCCAGACTGCAACTCCTCAGATCCATAAGGGACGCACTCAGGGAGCAGACTCAGTGAGCACCAAAGCCCCACTGAAGCAAGTCTTGCCCCAGAAGGGTGTCTTCAGCACAGAAGTTCTCCCACTTTAGACACAGCTGATTCTCACAGCCAATTGGCCTGGAGGTCAATTCCTCCCAGTGATTCTACAACAACCAAGGCACCAAGAGTGCACCAAGAGTGTCCACCCCAGGTAACTGGGGAGGCTGAGCTACTGGGCCCTACAGGACACCTGGCGCACAGGGCCACTCTATCAACACAGGGAAGCTGCCAAAATGCGGAGACAAAGAAACAGGTCACAAATGGCAGAAATGGAGGAAAGCAAACGATTGGATATAGAGTTTAAGGCCACGGTTATAAGGTTTTTCAAGAATTTTATGGAAACCGCCGATAAATTTAATGAATCCCTCAATAAGTATAGGGAGACCATGGAGGACATGAAAAAGGACCAACTAGAAATTAAGCATACACTGACTGAAATAAAGAATAATTTACAGAGATCCAGCAGCAGAAAAGAGGATCCCAAGAATCAAGTCAAAGATTTGAAATACAAAGAAACAAAAAATACCCAACCGAAAAAGAAAAAAGAAAAGAGATTCCAAAAATATGAAGATAGTGTAAGGAACCTCTGGGACAACTTCAAGCGTACCAACATCAGAATTATAGGGGTACCAGAAGGAGAGAGAGGGCAAGATATTGAAAACCTTTTTGAAGAAATAATGACAGAAAACTTCCCCTACCTGGTGAAAGAAATGGACTTACAAGTCCAGGAAGCGCAGAGAACCCCAAACAAAAGGAATCCAAGGAGGACCACACCAAGACACATCATAATTAAAATGCCAAGAGCAAAAGATAAAGAGAGAATCTTAAAAGCAGCAAGAGAAAGACAGTCAGTTACCTACAAGGGAGTACCCATACGACTGTCAGCTGATTTCTCAACAGAAACCATGCAGGCCAGAAGAGACTGGCAAGAAATATTCAAAGTGATGAATAGCAAGAACCTGCAACCAAGATTACTTTATCCAGCAAAGCTATCATTCAGAATAGAAGGTCAGATAAAGAGCTTCACGGATAAGAAAAAGCTAAAGGAGTTCATCACCACCAAACCAGCATTATATGAAATGCTGAAAGGTATTCTTTAAGAAGAGGAAGAAGAAAAAGGAACTCTTACCATTTGCCACAGCATGGATGGAACTTGAGAGCGGATAAATACCACAGGATCTCACTCATTTGTGGAATATAATGAACAACATAAGCTGATGAACAAGGACTGATCCAGAGACGGAGAGGCATTGATTGGACTGTCGGGACTTGGAGGGAAGGTAGGGGAGGGTGGGGGTAAGGGGGAAAGATCAACCAAAGGACTTATATGCAAGCATATAGGCCTAACCAATGGACATGGACAACGGGGGGGTGAGGGCATGAGCGGGGGTGGGGGGGGTAGGGGGTAGAGGGTAACGTGGGGACAAGGACACATATGTAATATCTTAATCAATAAAAAATATATATAAAAAGGATGATGTTAGTGGATATGGGTAAGTGAAACTTGCCAAGAAAAACATTTATTTCTACCTTATGATATTTATAAATTATTTATAATTATTTCAAAAAATATGCCAAGTACTATGAAAAACACAATTGAAAATGGTTTTATATCTTGCGACGCCCACTTGTTTAGCACTTATTTTCTGCTTTGAAGCAAAAATTAAAAATGCAAGTAGTAAAAATGAATCTCTTCAATCTTTAATTACCTTCAAGTGGAAATTCAAATACTGAAAAATGGTAAACTTTTATTCATTAGTTCAGCAACTCTTTAAGAAATACCAATTACAGCACAATACTGAAGGACGATTTATCAGTGAACAAAATATAGGTTTTTTCTCTGCACGAATGGATTTCACAGTCTTGTCGAGTTTAGCAAGATATTCTTTCTCCCTCCTCTCCTGGACAGAAATCCCATCCATTCTTCAAGGTTTGGATCTATTCCCTTATTTCCATTAGGTACTATTTGTACTGTTCTAACTCCTACAGGTTTATCCATTCTCTGATGTTTCATGATTTGTACAAGTGGTACCGTTATCATACAATTTTGATCCTATGTCATCAGGAACCGATCTCTATTAAATATGCCTAAGTTCTTTCTCCTCAATAAGATAAAAAAATCTTAAAAAAATTATTTTATTGATTTTTACAAAGAGGAAGGGAGAGGGATAGAGAGTTAGAAACATCGATGAGAGAGGAACATCAATCAGCTGCCTCCTGCAGACCCACTACTGGGGATGTGCCCACAACCAAGGTACATGCCCTTGATTGGAATCAAACCTGGGACCCTTCAGTCTGAAGGCCAATGCTCTATATCCACTGAACCAAACCAGTTAGGGCAAGATAAAAAATTCTTAATGACAAAGACTTGGGATGGGGTCAAGGGCCACATTTTATGTATATTTTGTAATACTGAGCAAGGCAGTTAGAATATTCCTAGTAAAAGCATTTGAATGTAACTGAAAAACATACTTACTGGAAGGGTGGTTCTTGACCATACCAAAAGAGATATCAATAAAATGCGTCTTAGCATGGACACCTCACAATACTGGTGCAAATGAAGGGGATGTGGTGAGAATTTCTTAATGGAATCTCATGATGTACTCTTCTTTCCACTTGTTATTTTAAAAGAAAATTGTTCATTATTTCCTAAAGCTGTTGTATAATTTAAATGTCCCTAAAGGACGTTGGCAACAATGCAATCAGTCTTCCATTTCAAATAATAGGTAGAATAGGCTTAGTTGAACACTTAAATTTGTGAAAGAAAAAAAAGAAAAATACTTGCTTGATGTTGCATAACTACATTTCCAACCAATTTAAAGCTGCAACAAATGACAATACAGTTAAAATGTTAAAATGGGGAAGTCATTCTGTGAATCTGACCTGTACTTTAGCATTTTAAAATAAGCTTCTTGTTTATTTGCAGGGTTCATTAGAAGCGCTTTAAAAATTGATTTATGTGATAAGACATGCTTTGAACAGGCATCTTGATAAAGTACAACACAGTATCTAAGTTAAGAATATTGCTTAAAGGAACCTAAGTTGAAGCTAAAGATGATTTATGCTGATAGAACTAGGACAATCTGGTTGTCCTTTATTATAGCCTTTAAGGCTTGAAATCATTCTGTTCAAGGTTATTTGAATGGCTGTCTTCACTATCAAGAGCTTCTAATTGGTGCAACTATACTTCTGACCACCTTATCAGTCTACAGAATTGTTTGAGATGAAATTCTTCCAAAATGGGAAGACAGCCCAGGGTTATTTAGGCCAGGTGCCAAGTTATGAGACTGAAAGAACACAGCTATCAAGAAAGAATCCCATGAAAAAGTTTTTATGCTCTATGAAGCAGAATTTGTTCATCAGACTGTGCTAACCCAGATTTCTTCATTTTCTGTTTTACAATGTATACTTTTGGAATCATTTATTCCTATTAGAAGACATTCCTTTTTAAGAAGTAGAAAGGCTTCCCAAAACTGTCTAGGAAGAACATGTTCCCTTGGTGTTATCATCATTAGTATTTTCCCCCCAGAAGAAGAATATATATATATATATATCTAAATTTTATCTTTATTTCACTGATCTATCCCTTCTTCCCCAGCCTCTCTAGCTGCATCTGGGCTAGGGCAATATGAGAATGCATTTAATTATATATATTTTTGTATAACAATTGCACAGTCTAATTCTAAAGCCAGGCAAAGTGAAAGCAATGTATCAAAACACACTGGGCAGAATGTTTACTCTATTCTCAGGTTAACAGTGGTTGGCCACCATGAATGGTAAAATCTAAGATGCCACAGGCAAGACAGAAACATCAGTCTTCCAAACAACAATAGACCAACTGACTTTAAGAAAGAATCACTTGAGAGGCCAAAGAAGCTCCATTTACCCACAGGCACAAAGGCTCTTCCTTGACGGCATCTTGTGTTTTCCTGTTTGGCCATTTAATACTCCTGTTTGCTAGCCATGTAGAGCAAAAGCAATTAACCATATTTCTTGAAGACAGAAGCCGATGCCTCTGATATTTTGTACAGAGTCTAGCCCACAATGGTGCGCTTAACTATGTTTCATGAACAAAGGAACATTCTACCCACAAGTCTGCTAAGAAATCAACTTCAGTAGAAAACACCCCAGTTGTCTCATTGTTCCTCATTCTGATCACAGAAACAGATGTTGAAACAAACCAAAAGGCAGGGTACAGCTAATCCAATTTAGGATATCTCATCAGGGCTCAGGAGGCTAATAGGATTTATGACATCTCACCATATCTCAGGTTTGATAGTGATGCATTCCAAACACGTGATAGTGTAGCAGAAAAGGCAAAAGTAAAAATGAAAATAAAAAATAAATCCACATCAAGGGCATCCCAAACCATGTTAGTGTCAAAGAATTAATGCTACAAGGAGAAAATATGATCTACTGATCATGGTCTGTTTCTGTAGATGAAATCTCTTCCCCCTTGCTTCCTAAATTTCAATTGTTTTTATAGTGTTTATTGCTGACCAAAAAGTATTTATCAGGTAAGAATATAAATGAAATAAAGCTGATGCTGGATGTTATTTATTTGAATTTGTATTTCAAACAGACCTTTCTAACTGTCTGAAGTTTTCCTTGGAAGATGAAGGGTAACACAGCCTCATGTCCTAGGCATCTAAAGCACCGATTTTCCCTGTTGGCAGTGGCTAGTTAACACGGGTGATCAGAAACGCGGCTCCACGTTCACGCGCTCACATATCAGAACGTTAGACATCTGGGTGCTCACTGACCTTCAGGTTGGTATTGTGCTATGATCGTCACTGTCTGTCCAGCCCCCTTCAGTGCAGCAGCAGCCTGTTCGTGGGATGCTCCCCGGAGGTCAATGCCATTCACCTGAAAGACAGGAAGCCAGACAATGTTGGTGTTTCATAAGGCATATTATTCTGATCGACAGAAGGAAAAAGTTTCCCAAAACGGAGAGTCTGTTTAAGATTATGTCACCTGCCTCAAAACCCCTCATGTCCTACCAAGGCATTTGTGTGTTATGCTCCTGAGAAATTTTAGGCAGCAGACACATGAAATTTCATCTTGTGGTGTTTGTGCTACGGCCTGACCAGGTTGAAACACTTTTGTATGCCCACGATGACTAGGCTCTCAGTGTGTGTATTTCATATGCCTCTGTGAGCTTCCTAGATTTCTGGGGTGGATAGAAGCCTTCAAAATTAGAGGGAAAACAGGGTAATAAAGAGAGACACATGTAATGTGCATAGACTAGCATGCACTGACAGATTAATATATTCAGATAGGGTTCTAGGGACAATGTACACAATGTCACCAGACTGGCTGCCCGCCAAAACTCCCTCTTTGGTCATAAGCCTGATCCTGTCATCCTGAGCTCAGTTAGATAGGCCTGAGCTTTGTTCCAAAATAAATTTGACCGCCCCATTTCTCATGTACAATTCCAGTGTGGCTTCTGACAAAATGAAATAGAGAATGCCTGCAGTTTATGTTGCTGTTGCTAACTCCCATTTTGGGGCCCGTGCCAGAAGAGAAACAGAGCATCTCCAAACGCGCACAGAACTGCCGAGAGGAAAAATTCATTCTGAAGTCAAATTTAATGAGAAGCAAAAGCTAAAATCTTTCTCCAATCAATTCGGTCTAAATCAACACAATGTAATTACTGAGTGCTTGTCAATGGCAAGGCCCTCTGTCTGCCCCAGGAACGGGACTGTGGGTGGGGAACAAAAGTGAATAAGACAAGTCCAAGGAAGCCTTTCTGCTTCAACAGAGCACACAGCAAGTCCAGTTCTTTAACCTAGCACATAGTAAGTCCAGTTCTCTAACCTACACAGAGGCTGGTTTTAGCAGATGATACCAGAATTCTGCTTCTTTTTATTTACAAGGAAGATGGCCACCCCCCATGAAAAAGAATAAAAGAACTGATCAGTTTATCTACCCATAAAATATAGAGTCCTATTTGGCCTCACCTGAATCCTCTTTGACAATGATACTGGATTGGTGGGGGGTTGCTACTCTGTTTCCTTAGCAGGCCTGGAACATCTGTCATTCTCAATTCCACATCCTGGACATCTCATAGTAACCTTGTTTAAGTCTCCTTAATTCACTTTTATTTATTAAAAAAAATATTTTTATTGATTAAAGAGAGGAAGGGAGAGGGAGTGAGAGATAGAAACATCAATGATGAGAGAGAATGATTGATTGGCTGCCTCCTGCAAGCTCCGCACTAGGGATGGAGCCCACAACCTGGCATGTGCCCTGACCGGGAATCGAACCATGACCTCCTGGTTCATAGGTCGATGCTCAAACACTGAGGCATGCCAGCTGGGCACTCCTTATTCACTTTTAAAACTTTCATGGTCTCTTCCCTGGCTTTCTATTCTAGTAACTCCTTAATGAAAGCATTGATTACACAGTAAATTGGGAAGCCGGCTGAGCTAGGGGTGGCCTGCCCGTGCCACTTAATAGCTCTATCGCCAATCTGAGCCTCAATTCTCTCCTGACTCTCTTAGAATCAAAGAGTTCTTTGATTCTAACAGTCCCTTTGAACTATAAAATTTCAGATTAACTCCTTGGTAGCTGATCGTCATTTCAGAGATTGACCAGGCATTGATGGGTCAGAAGTATGACTTAGCTGGAAGAGACAGGAAAAGTAATTTCATCCAGGCTTTTGTCTACCGGAAACTGAATGCACACGTGAAGGATCACATAATCTCTTGTCCAACAATTCCTCTTATCATTGACCTCCTGGTTCATAGGTTGATGCTCAACCATAGAGTCATACTGGCTGGGCTAATTTACTTATTTCTTTTTATTTGGAGAGTTTGCTCTTTTAAAATTTTATCTGTATATTAAAAATATTAGTGCTCTATCTCATATAACTATTATAAATATTCTTAGAGTTTGGTGTTTGTATTTTGTGTTATTGCATTTAACTATTTTAGCTTCTCACTTGTATGTTATTTCTTGTCATATAGAAGTTTAAAATATTTAGCACTATTTTTTCCTTTTTAGCTTTTAAGTTTTGTGTTATATCATCCCCCTCTGTGATATATTTATTAAATACCCATGTTTTCTTTTAGTACAAGCACAGGTGTGTTTTTTTTGTTTTTTTTTTTTGTTTGTTTTGTTTTGTGTGTTTTTTTTTTGTTTTTAGCTATATACTTTTTCATCTACTGAATATATTTTGGTGCTTGATGTGAGAACCAGGTGAACAACCATCATTTCTTGGACCTTTCTTTTGTAGCATCAAATTTCTACATCTTTCACTATTCTAATTATGCCCTAAAATGTTCTCATTGAACTGAGGGAGCATGAAATAGTGAGAAGAAACAAAAGATTTAGAGTCAGGGAGAACTGGGTTTGAATCCTGAGTTCACCAGTTATATCTAAGTAACTTGGGAAAGTCACTTAACTTCTCCAAACCTCAGCTTCCTCACCTGTAAAATGGGTACAATATCTACATATTGCATGAAATAAATGAGATAATATCTGTAAAGCCCTTAACACAGAACCTAGCACAAAAAGGCATTCAGCAAATAGTATCTAATATTACTGTATTTCTTCAAAGAGCTGTGATGATCAGTGATGAAATAAAATCCAATGGAAATTAACCAATATGGAATATAGTGTACAGGTTAGTTCATATGTTTTTTTTCCTTCAGAACACCCAATTTCAGTACTGAAAGAGACTTAGAAACTTGTTCACCCAGCACTTACACATTAGAGATGATCCCCATTAGGGGAAGGGACTTGCCTTAAGTCATATCAGAGTAGTGCAGCTAGGGCTTCTCTTGCTCAGCCCAGGATTCGTTCCACTGTAGCAGATGTTCCCTATGATGGGGTGTGTTTATTTTCCACTGGTCCAGTAGAAATCTTGTTCACCGTAGGCCTGTTTCTACATGGGCCCCCACATTTGTAGAGTTTTTGATGCTGCCATCATCCTGAACCATACATTGCCCGGGGCCCTGTTGATTTTCCTCCAGGGTTTAGCACACATGTTCTCTTTCAGTCCTTCAAACTTTTCAAGGTCACTTTGCTTCTTATGTCTCCCCCTATGGCTTGAGTTTTTTATTAGTAATCTTTGCTCAAATAACATTTTCAGAGGCATTTGAAAGCAGTTTACATCACTGACATGACATTTCAAAATACCAAGGGTGACACAGACTCATATATTTATTATTTCTATTTTTCTACTTCAATTTGAATTTTCTCTTCTTGAAGCATAAACTGGGAGAATGGATGCCATTAAATACTGTTGAGATTAATAATGATAGTCATTGTTAACATTCACTGATGATCAGGCATGCTGATATCTAGAGGGATATTTATTCATTATCTTATTTAATCTTTAGAAGCCTGGGATTACTTTTCCAATTTTATAAATAAGAAAACTGAGCTCAGTGAGAGTCACTAACTTTGTGCAAGGTTAAATAGTTGGAAGAAGTTAAGAATTTAAAATAGTCTAACTAAAACTCTTGAACTCTTACTACCATTTCTTATTGTTCTTCCTTCAATATCCTGTCTATGAGGGTCTATGCCTGCAAGATTCTAATTCTGAAGTTTGCCTTTCAAGCTCCCTGAGACTGACAGCCCACAATTGGGTGTGGCATGCTGGTCAGCTCAGCCATGGGCTCAAGCAACCTGGTTTAGACATTATGGTCCAGCTTATAACGATTAGAACATGTAGGGTTGAAACAAAGGCTTTGGGAGGCTAGAAAAATTCCACCTATTACTATCTTCTTATGTATACAACTGTCATTGGATCATAGAAAACATTAAATTCTATTTGTTATGACATCCTTTTCACACCAAGTTAGTAATGGATAGGAAGGTTAGGACTTCTAGTTAATTCAAGTAGATATAGGTTTTTTTCAGATGCTGGTGTGAAGGAGAATGGTGTACCATATCCAGAGTCAACTTTTTTTTTTTTTTTTTTTTTTTTAGGTGAGCATTATGTCTGTTACTTCAGCCAGTAGGGCCCTTGGCCTGGGGCTCCAGGTTCCCTGAATAAATTACTGTATGTTCTTTAGAAATATATTTATTAGTATTATAGAAAGGATCTACACTAATAAAAGAGAAAGATGCAAATTGACCATACCTTTGCAGCACCCACCAGCCAATCAGGAGTGAGTATGCAAATTAACCCAACAAAGATTAATTGCATACACAGGTGCTGAGTGGCTGGGGGCAGGGCAGGACAACAATGTAGGCGTTCCACACCATCCCAGCTGCTCCAGGCCTCTGGGCAGCATGGGAAGGCGGAAAGGCGGCTCTGGCCAGCCGGAGCGAAGGCGGTGCTGGCAGCCAGGGGAAGTAAGGCCCATTCTTGCACGAATCTTCGTGCATCGGGCCTCTAGTAATATAATAATGAGAGAATTTCAGAAATGGGGAGAGATTTTATAATCCTCTGCAGCCACCAATGCCTACCTTCAAGGTGATATGACTGCATTATTCATATGCCCTATCCCTCACCTCCACCATGTTCAACTTTTATATTTCTCTGATTCAGGCATTTCTATCCTTGCAAAGGCTGTTTTCCTTATCTAGAACATAAGTTTTCACCCTCTCATCACCTGGAAAACTTCTCCTAGTCTGTAAAGATTCAGTCTGAAAGGACCAGTGGAATGTGCTTATTTGTGAACTCCTAAAGGTAGGAGCTTGTCTCATTGAAACTTGTGTCCTTAGCAAAGTGCCTGGGATATAGTAGGTGAAGAGGTGAGTGAATAGGCAAGTGAATGAGTGATAAAGATAGTCACACTATGTTATCCCAGGCCAATGGTCAACTAAGTTTTTTGACCCTGGCTCCATGCTGATAAAGAACTAAGTATCTTTCAGGGAAATCCATTCCTCTTGGGGTTATCTCCAGCAATAAA